AAATCCCATGCAGGGTCTACAGACTGTGCCAAGTTCTTTACTTGTTCCTTCAGAAGCTTTTCCACCATTGCTGATTTAGCTTCTGAATGTGTCCAGGTGCACAAACGTACCAGATCTCTCCCATCCTACTTAGAAGCTTGCTGGGGAGGTAGTTAATTTTTATAGGCATGTAATTACTATAAAAATGGTCAGAGCAATAAATGTGACACCTCTGTGTTCATAGATACCCCCTGGTATTCAGCCAGACCAGAGAATTCGAATGAGCGGGAAAGGCATTCCCAGGGTTAACAGTTATGGCTACGGAGACCACTACATTCACATAAGGATAAAAATTCCTCAGTAAGTAGAGCTAATGCAAGTTTCTGTGAAATCTTGAACTGTTTGCCAGAAATGTTGTGCAGAAAGATTTTGTGAAAAATCCTGACTGCTTTATCAAAATGATTAATTTCTCACCGTTTTTTATTCTAATGTTAGGTACTCTTTTTTTTTTTTTTTTTTTTTTTTTATTCTGTATATAATACCATTCAGCAACCCAGCTCTAAAAATCCTAAACCCTGGAAGTACATAAGTAATTCTGCATCTGCATGTTGCCTGTCTGTCTGCGATTCTGTCTGGATCCCGCTTACATAAATTCAGTGTTAGGCTTACAACACGTCTGTGCTCTCACACCTAGGGCTTCAAGGAGTTGAAATCCTTGGCCGTTGCTTTTCAGACTGCTTGGCCACCCTCGGCTCCTGCGGTGAAGGAAACTGCTTCCCTGGCATTGCTATACTCGGCAAGGCAGTTCATCTCCTGAGGTCTCCCCACCAGATGTGTGCTCTCTTGCAGCTCCATGCGGTTCTTCTCAGCGCTTCAAAGTATTTTTGGTTTTTCCCTGCAGTTTGGTGAAATGCAGTGGGTCATATCTCCTCTTCCACTGGGGCTTATTCTTTATAGGTTGCCCATTTCAGGAGCACCGTAGGGATTCTCGGTGTCTGCCAGGTGTATTCATCTTGGACTTCCAGTCGCTGCCTCTCATGCGTGCTGCTGGAGGAGGTTGAGGAGCTCTGTAGAGACATCTGTCCCTAAAGACAACCGTAACCAACACCTCTGTGTTTGGCCTGCAGGAGGCTGACGGATCGCCAGAGAGCGTTAATGATGAGCTATGCCGAGGACGAGGCGGATGTGGAAGGCACGGTGAACGGGGTCACAAATACAGCGTCAGGTGAGCAGTGGGAATCTGTGCTCCTTCCGCGTGGAGTCGGCGTGGGAGTGCAGAGCGCTTCCTGAGGGCTCCTGGGGGAGGGGGAAGGGGAGCCAGGGCCACCCTGAGACCGTGTGTCAGCACAGCCTGCCAGGCACGCTGTTTTGGAAATAGTTCTGGTATGATGGTAATAGGCTGCAGCACAAAGCAAAGGAGGTAGCCTCTTCCCGGGAAGCTTTACTCAAATACTTACTGGGCAAATCTGTGCATGACTGCAGAGCAGGTGTTCAGATACTCGGGGTCCTGACAAGTTGTGGTGGTGAATGCCTGCCGCTCCCTGCTTCTGCCTCTGTGCCAGAAGTAACATGTCTTAGGAGCAGAGGTAGAAAAAGAGAACGTGCTTCAGGCCAGCTGTGTGAGCTAATCCATTGTGCTTCTGACCACAGTGGGGACGTTTCTCCTTGAAAGCTGGCAGTGGGTACGGCTGTCAGGGCTGCTCTGAGCCACACGCTGTGCGCATGGGGTAGAAATGCTTGTTGGTGCTGAGTCAGGAGAGAGCGTCCAGTGCAATGGAGGGAGTGAAATCAGCTGGGAGCTTTGTAAAGCTGTTCTATCAGCTCCGGATCAAAAATTTGGATTCAGCAAATACATGTTTTAAGTTTCAGGGGTGAGGTACCTGGCATCAGTAGCAGCTAAAGGCAAAACGTGCGGTAGAACAGTAACACAAGAGCTTTGTCTTTTTGCTACTGGAAAACAAATTTTTTCTTTGCTCATATTGGAACAATTAACTTGTTAAAGCTGATCGATTTCTTTTTATGCTTGAAACCAAGAAGGGCATTTATGACTGTGTACAGCTAGGCGAAGGTGCAAGTGTTTCAAAGCTGCTAAATGATCCCAGGAACTCGGGTGCTTTCTGCTCCACATGCCAAAGCCTGTGGAATACAGGCTGAAGTTCAGGATATTGAAAGGCAGTACCTGTCAAATACTTACCAATGTTATGTTTTATAGCACTTCCGTAACACAGAAGTGACGTCTTTTCTGCTGAGGGGAAGCATTAAGGGTCAGCCTTGCGGGGGGAGAGATCTGTAGGCACAAAACTTTCATTCCAGATTTTTAAAGACGTTTATGTGCCGAAGGAAGAAAAATGCTCTCCAATTATGTTTTTTAAAAAGCAAACCTGCCAGGTTTTACTGCAATTAAGCAGCAAGGTGGATTACGAACACCACCTGTAGTTTGCAGTATAGAGACAGGCTGTTGCTGAAAGCGTGTCCTTGCTCTGGGAAGCAGAAATACGCTGAGTGGCCAGAGGCGTGCTCTGCCCCAGGCCTCGGTATTTCATACCATTGCATCAGTGCGAGCTCGGGAGTCAGCGGGGGAAGGACGGGCAGGACTGGACTTCGTGTTCCCTGTGTGCAAAGAAGGCTTGAGGAGGATTTGGGGGTCTTGTTATTGATGGTTTTACTGTAGAAAAAGCAGATTAGCAAAGAGGTCTCCTTTGTTTTTGCTGTAGCCACTTCTGGAGGGACAAACAACTTCTCAGGACCTGTTTATACAGGAAAATTATGCTCGTTGCTGCCAGTAAGATTCCTTATCTGGACACTTGTTCTGAAATACTTGTAGCCTTTTTCATTCTAGCCTGAGTTAATTTTGTCCTTGATGCCGTTTGTCTGAGCATTGCTTGAAGTTACATGAAGCAGGCTCCTGGTATGGTGTTGCATTACTTTGCTCTAGAGGGTCATGACATGACCATGAAACGGGAAGAGAGATTGTTCCAGAGACCACCAATAGAGCTTTTTTTTTTTTTTCCCCTGTAAAGTCATGGCTGGCTGTGGTCAAGTTAACAACTTGTTTTTAGTGGCAGACTCTCAATTCCAAGTGCTTGTTCCCATAGCCTGTGGGGTCCCTGAGTTAACTGTGCAGCACGAGATTTCCCTCGCCACTTGGAGGGCTGGGGAGAGGGAAAGGGAACCGTGTTACCTGGGCTCACGGTTATTTCCACTTCTGGGGTCCAGACTCTCCAGTGCTTTCCCTGCAAGTGGTCCAGTCCCATGGCTCGCTGCCAGGCGCAGCCCTGTACGCGAGGATGGAGGCAAAGCCAGCTGCCTTCACTCGACCATTCCCTGTCTGAAATAACCCACTCGCTTGGTCAGGCGTGCTGGCTGCTGGTGGGAGATGTATCTGACTGCAGCCCTTTGCTGTTTGTGTCCAGGTGGCAGGGCCACGGCTAGCGCTGATGCAGGCGGGGATAGGCCTGAGGCTGAGGAGAACAAGGAGGGATTCCTTTCCAAACTTAAGAAAATGTTTAGCTCCTGACACCCCATCCGAGGTAGGAGGCCTCTTGTGTTTTGTTGTCGTCTTTCCCCCACACTAAGCAGAATTTGCACTTCTTGGGAGGTAGAAGCAGCAAAAACACAGCATTGCTTCTCGCTTAGCCTCAGGCCTTCCAGCCACCAGTGTGAAAAGCCCTAGCTGTCCCCTGTGACCTGGAGCAAAAAGCCAGGGACTAAATTGCATTGGTGCTGCAGCAAAAATGCTGGGTACATCTTCAGGGAGGTTGCTGGCCTCCCCTGCAGTTCTGCTTCCTTATCCACACAGTGGCTGTGCCAGATTCAAAGCACCGGGGGGTTGTTCCGGAGCTGGTAAAGCTGGGACTGGGCAGTTCTGCTGCCCCTGCAAAGCCCAGGCTTGCCGGGAGGTGCAGGTGGGGCCGCAGAGCTGCCGGTGCCGGTACGCTCGGGCTGGACTCGGGGTTACAGCACCAGGAGGGAATCGGTCTTTGTCATAAAGCACAGCAAAACCCGGGCCACAAAAAGGAGCAGAGTGCTGTAACTCAGGGTGCCATTTAGTTGGTGTTGGCCCGCTGTGAGGGAGCGCTGCAGACTCGAGGTCACCTGTGGCAGACACTGGTGCCTCGGCTTCGTGTCACCGCCGGCTTCCAACTTGTCCGTTCTGCGCGGCTGGCAAAGCGTGAGGCAGGCCGGGGGCGAGGCGCGCTCGCAAAGCAGGCCGCAGGGGCTGCTGCGTGCCTCGGGCTGGTTCAGCTGGGAAACGTTCGACGTCTCTCTTGCTTCGACTGCAGGGAAGCGTTCTACTGGAAACTAAGAGCCCGCAACAGCAGATCGTCTTCACAGTCGGGAGTGAATGTTTCTGGCAGTGGGGTCTGGAGAGCGAAGGATGTCACTCAGCAGCACAGTGAGAATCCCAGCTGGAGAGGCTACAAACCACTGAGGCACCAAGTATGATGATATAAAACCTACCCACCGACCTAAGAAATGGTAATGAAGGAAAATGCCAGCTTTGCAGACACACGGCTCGCTCTCGAGGTCGCTCCACGGTCCCTACTGCTGCTGGGAGCTTATTTGGTAAAAATTAAAGTTGAAATATTATTTAGAATCCGAAACAGAGGAAATGTGAAATAAAAAAAATGTCCTTCCAGCACAGAGTGGAGCAGTTTGCTGTATGGAGTCCAAGATGGCTGCTGCTCCCTCAGGTGCGCTTCTGAATGTGAGATGTGCTTGGTGAACTTATCACCGCTTATCTTCTCCCAGGAGACTTGGTGGGTCAGTGAGTTTCAACCCCGTCTTCACAACAGCTCTCCTCGCTGCCCTGCACTCCTCTCGGGGAGTGGAAGTCTCCCTGGGGCTGGCCCTGCCGGAGCCCAGCTGCCCTGGGGGTTTTTTAGTCCTGCTGATTTCCTGCACAAAGAGCAGTGATGGAATCTGCGCTTTGCCTCAGGTTTCCCTTACCCGCCAAATTAACTAAAGTGACAACACAACTGCTGTTGCTTCTGAATGGGTACAAGTTGATCACCAAGCCCTTTGCCAGTTTGTCCCAAAGTCTTTTATTACATTAGTGCAACACCCGTAGCATAAGTGATTGGTCAAAGAGTCATTGTTCCTACATGTGTGAGAATACAAGTGAAGTGGATCACTCCTTCCAGGTGGAGTTGAGCTCTTGCAGTGAGTATTTTCATGGTTACTGTAGCCCGCTGTTGTTAGTTATACCGTGCAGGTACCATCAGCCCACATACTAATTGACCAGTTTAAACAAGGACGTGTCATAGTCTTGCCCTTAATTTGCTGAAATAAAGCACGCGTTGCCTCCTGATTAAACTGTCTGTAAAGTGATTCTGTATCAATGTAAATAAGATTGACTTCATAAAGATATTTAACACGTGCTGTGCCTTGCTGCCTCGTCTACTCTTCCAGCCTTACCTGTCACCCCCTTTCCCTCCCCCCAAAACAGGAAGGAAGGTCTTCTCTCAGCCAAGGGGCAGAGAGGGCTAGAAGGCTTGAGTGTGGCTGGGGGCTGTGGTTGCTTTTAAGCACAGGTGAAGACTGCCACGTCCCAGGGCTCTTATCTGAGCAGTACTCAAAGGAGGTCAAGTGAGTCTTAAATCTGAGGGTTGGGCAATCTTGTAAAGGTCTTACTCGATTCACAGGCCAGGCCCCGGGTGAGAGCTGTCTGACCTGAGGAATGAGGCTGTTTCTGTGTTACACTCGTCGTGCTCTGTCTCTCCAGGCCTGCCGCTCTGCCTGCTGCCTCACCTGAACCTGGTCCCTGGAGGAACCCCTGTGTTTTCTGCTTGCTTAGGAGCGTGGGCCTGCTGTGGGTACCTGCAGCGAAGGCAGCGCCCTTGGGGGCCATGAGGCACTGGGCATTCAGCACAGCCCCTCGTGCTCTATGCTCAGAGCTGCTGGGGAAACAGGGTGATCCTGGGAAAACAAGCCACTACTGTCCTACAGCTGTGAAAACACCCCAAAACCACTAAACACCCACCTCCCTGGAACCAACATTTCCTCTAAACAATCTGAACCAAGGTGCAGGAGAGCCCTGGAGTGGGCACATGGACCAAAGCTCCTCCCAGCTCCCCGGGGGTCGGCCTTTCACCAGGGCGCAGCTCCCCACTGCTGCTGCGGAAGCTCGGGTGGGAGGGGAGGGTCAGAAGGTGGCCTTGTTGTCTGCCACCCACTGGTGGAAGGTGCGGGCCTTGGGGTTGAGTTTCATGGTCAGGTCCACGTTGCGGTCTGGCTTCAGGGCATAGAAATGGAACATAGCAGCCAGTTCCTTGGCCCCGGGGAAGCCATGTTTCTCATACTCCTCAGGAGAGATCTGCAAAAAAATTTAGGGAAAAAAAAACCCCAGTGTTGGTGTAGGGCAGAGGCTGCTGGAGTGTTTTGTTTCCCTTAGACCATGCAGGGAAGCCGAAGAGGGCTGCACTAGAGAAGCCCCCCTCCCACCTTATTTCCCCTGGTGAGGAGGCTCTGCAAGCCATTTTGGTCAGGGTTGTGTAAAGGAAGCAGCAGCCCTGTGCCGTGAAGGCAAGGTGGAGGGAAGCCTTTGCCAGAGTACACTGGCGCGAGGTGGGATGAAGCAGCCCCCTGTCTGGCAGTCAGTACTGACCCAGGAGCCCCCCAGCTCCCCCCTCTTCCTCCGGGCGCTGTGTGAGAAGGGGTGGAGTTGGTGGTGGGGAAATCATGCCGCAGAGATGCTGAGCAGTTTCTACTGGAGCTGCCCCCCCTGAGCTGCTGCCAGTTGAGCCCCCTGCAGCCCCGCCGGGCAGGGAACAGCCTGCCCTGCCTCAGGCACACAAGCTGCTCTCCCCAGCAGCAGAGGCCTGAGGCAGCAATGAGGGAGCCCTTCCCTGCACTGGGGCACAAGCCGTGGGTGAGGGGTTCTAGAAACACAGGCTTGGGGGTCCAGGAGAGCTCTGAGGAGCCTCAACAACCCAGGCTGTCCTCTGGCACCCCAGCATTCCCTCCCTGAATCAAACGGTGGCCCACTGCTTCTGCGCTGGGGCCCTGGGACGAAACGAGCTTCTTATTTATCCCTGGGAGAGCAGAACCTGCAGCGAGCACCAGAAGCTCTTCCCTTCTGCTGAAATGTGCTTCGCTTTCAAAGCAGAGCGCTACCACACCCCTGGTATCGACTGCCCGAGGGGAGCGGCGCAGCCAAAGCACAAACAAAAAATAAAAAGAAGTGCTGGGGCACGGAGAGGCCAGGAGCGCTGCAAGGGTGACCCAGCGAGGCCCTCGGGGCAGGGGTGCTGAATTTCCCAGCCCTACCAGCGCCCACCTGGCCCCTGGTTCTTCTGGAGATCTCCCGCTTCAGCGGCCCCTCAGAGCCAGGCACGGCCCTGCCCAGGCGCACCCACGCGCTCCATGAGCACCAGTGGGCTCGGTGACAATACCCACAAGGCAGGTTCTGTGCCAGTGTGCGCTCCGGCCCCACGCAGGGGCTGATCCTGAGCTCCGAGGGCCCTCCATCCCAGCAGCTCCCAACCTTGCTACCGGGGCAGCACAGCGCTTGTTTTGCCACTGCTCTGCGTGCTCAGCCCTTGCTCAAGCCCTCCCACCAGTCCACACCAACGGCAGGGCCTGGGCATGCTGTTCCTGTGCCCAGCCTGGGCAGGGAACCTGCAGAGCGTGTAGCTGTTGGGAAGGTGTGAGAGTTGTTGCTCCCCACCTTGTGCCAGGCTGCTTCCTCCCCGCCTCAAGAACATCACATACACCAAGGGACGCTTCCTACCTTGCTGGCTTTCACCGTCTTGCCCGTCTGCTGGGAGAGGACAGTGGCGTACTCTGCCTCGGTGAGCTTGCCGGCGCTGAGCCCGATCACTTTGCCTACGTACTCCTCTGGGGACTTCAACAGGCAACACACAACAGGCCCGACGTCCTCCACCGCCATCCCATCCATGGGGGCGTCCCCCATGGGCAGCTCTGTACGGGAGAGATTGATGCCAGCCAGAGTGCAGCCCTGCCGGAGGGAGCCCAGCTCCCAGGAGGTGCAGCTAGAGTTTTTGGCACCCAGGCTCTGAACACAAGGCGAGGAAGAGCCGAGAGCACCCATCGGCAGGGCAGGCCATGAGAGAACCCGCAGGGTTGAGCTTCTGAACAGCCAGAGCAGCACCGTGACTCGCCTGGATCCGCGGCCCCACCTCTGACCTCCAACATCCCAACAGCAGGGAGTTGGGATGTCCAGAGACACTCTGGGATCTCACTTATTTCTTGCAGGTCACCAAACAAATCTAAAGGGCCACAGTGCAGCTGCAACTCACTGTGGATAAGCTGGCACAGGCCTCTTTTCCCCATCAGTCTGCAGCGCTGGTGGTTCCTCCACCCCTCAGTGAGCCCCTGCACAGTGGGAGTGGATAAAAACTACCGGAGAGTGACGTGGAGAGCAAGAGGTCCCATCTTACCCAGGACAAAGGTATCTCCCTGCGGGACCTTCTGTGGCTTGAAGATGGAGAGGAAGTTCTCGAAGTAGAACGGCAGTCGGATGGTTGTGGTGGGAACACCAACTTCCTGGAAGTACTCCTCCACCACACCTTTGCCATCGAAGTGGAGCACCTCCAGCCGACCCCCTGTCAGCTGCTCCACGTTCTCCAGGCCGCTGTACACGACGTGGTGCAGGCCAAGGCGCTTCGACAGGTCAGCAAGCCGCTTGCCCTGCGTGAAGCCGGCCATGAAGAGAGGGATGGGACATGCGGAGGCTCTCAGCATCCCTGCACCCCCTCCTTCCCCTTCGTTGCAGTGGGCAGGGGGCAGGATCCAACACACACCAGCTGAGCAAGCTCCTCAGCAACTGGCACCCTGAGTCCTCAGCTGGAACCAGGGCTGAGCAGACCCAGAGAGTCCTGTGAGTTGCCCACGTGGAGCCAAGACCTACGCTTACACCATCCTACATTAGAAAGACCACAACCCCCCCGGCTCTGCTGCTAAGCTCCTCCGCCAAGCACACAAACACCAGCCCTAATAATCTGCCAGGGCAAACATACCTGCCCTAAAGTATCTTTTGTTTGCTGCCATCCAGGCGTGGCAATCCTGCCACCATGTGAAATCTGCCCTGGGGTGAACACCGCCCTTGGGGAAGGCCCTGGCATTTCTGATACACATCTGACCCCAAAGCTGCAAGTGCAGAGAGCTACAGGACCGCAGGCAGCAGCAGTCCTGGCTCAGCCCCTGGAAGGTTCTGTGCAGCCGAGTCTTCCCACTCCTGTTACTCCGGGGCAGTGCTCTCCACCATACCCAGTCTCATGGTATTTAAGGACTCCCCAAAGGCACCGGATCCCAGAGACACGTAACTGCAAGGGAACAGGGAACAAGTTTGGGCTTTGCGAGAACTGGGACCTGGTTTGTTGGTGAGGCCTTGGGACCTGGAATGGCCACTTGAACTGTCAGGGCTGTCCCGTGCCCCCCACCCTGATGCCACACGACTGTCCCTCGATCCCTCCCTCTCAGGCCATTCCACACATGGTCCCACGCAAAGCAAGCACCGGTACCTGCGCGATTTCCTTCTCTTTGCTGCAGTGCTCCCAGAAGTTGGTTACAACAAAGGCTCCGTAAGCACCCGCCAAGGCCAGCTCCAGTGATGGCCCATCGTCCTGATCCGCCTTCACCACCTCAGCTCCCCTCCGCTTCAGCTCCTTGGCTTCCTTCTTCGCGGGGCTCCGCGTCACCGCGCGAACCTTGAAGGTCCCGTCTTCTAGCAGAGCCCGGGCCACGGAGCCCCCCTGCGCCCCTGCAAGCGCGGAGCTGGTCAGAGCCCCGGCACCCCCCCGGGCTCCGCTCACGAAAGAAACTGGGACGAGCTGGGACTGTGAGACGGCGCTGCTGAGCGCGGGCCCTGCCCGGGGCACAAGGTCCCTCCATCCCCCGCTCTTGCCAGCCCCGCCGCCGGTTCCCCGGGCTGCTGCTCCTGCGAGGCGGGCGCTTTCCAGCCCCCCTGAACGCCGCAGGGGGCCCGGGCATTTTCGGAAGGTACGGATGCCCCTGCCTTGTGTCGCGGGGCCCCGAACCGCCTGTCCCCTTTCCCCGAGCACTCACCGGTTGCCCCGAACACCACGATCAGTTTCTGCCCCGCCATGACGCGGCGCGGGCGGCCCCGGGGCTCTGCCAGGGCGAGAAGGAGAGTGGTCGCACGGCTGGGAGGGCCCGGCGAGGCCGCGGCTCAGCCCCCGGGCCGGCCCCGCTCGGGCGGGCCTCCCCGGGCACGGGGGGAAGGAACGGGGCGGCGGCGGGGGCCCCTCGCCGGCCTCGGCGGGAGCCCAGGGCGGCGCGGAGCCACGGCCCCTCACAGGCCTCCTCACCTCGGTTCGGCGCTGTTCGGTTCGAATCGGCTCGGCTCGGCTAGTCCCGGCTGCGTTCGGCTCGGTTCGGCTGATCCCGGCTGCGTTCGGCTCGGTTCGGCTGGCCCCCACTTCGTTCGGCTCGTCTCGGCTCGGCTGGCCCCCACTTCGTTCGATTAGGCTCGGCTCGGCCCGATTGCGTTCGATTCGATTCGATTCGGTTCGGCTCGGCTCGGCTGGCCCCGACTACTTTCGGATCTGCTCGTCTGCGTCCATCCCTCTCTCCGGCCCCGCCCCCCCCGCGTGGCCCCTCCCACCCGCGGGCCGGGCCCCGGGGCGGCGGCGCGCCCACGGCCGGTCCCGCCGCTCGGCCCCAGCCCACGGCCGGTCCCCGCTCAGGATCTGCCGCCGCCGCGTCACCCCCGGCAGGTCGTTGGGGGTTGTACCCCCGGAGGCGTCCCGAGCCCCGCAGCCCCCCGCGCTGCAATAGCCGGGGGGAGGTGCGGGTCCCCCGGTAACGTGCTGCCCGCCTCGCCCCGCTCCTCCCGGAGCATCGGCGTTCCCGAGGAGCATCGCCCTGAGCCCGCCGGGGATGGGGCCGCTCGTTGTCCCCGGCAAATGCCGTCAGGCTGAGGGGACAGTCCCTGGTCACCCCCTTGGCAAGCCACGCCGTAGGTTGAATTTAGTAAATGTCTTGGGAAATTTGGCGTTGAGTCAAGGAAACAGCTCAGAAAACCTGTGAGGGATGTGTTACATACAGTTGCAAAGAAATAATTCCGATGTATGAATTAACACAAATGACTAATTGTGAAAGCAGGAGGTGCAGCCCCCACTGACTTCTGCACAGTCATTTTTGATGCGAGGGATCTTTAGCTACAGCTTATCAGAAAGCGACGGGGGCTTCCCAGATGCCATCCCCTCTTGAAATCAGCCTCCTGCCAGGGTGGGAGGTTACCCCCAGACCGAACACCCGGGGGGAGGAAAGGTTTTAACCCCTTCCCAGGCGCAGCCCCGGGGCTGGCAGAGAGCACGGCTTGCGCTGGGAGCAATCCCCGGGAGCAGCACGGCCCTGAGCGGTGGCTGGAAGCCCCCCAGCTCCCGCTTGTCCCCCCACCTCCCCTCCCCAAACGCCGATCACCGTCTGCAGCTGGTCTGGCCATGAGCCCACCCTGACCCCCAGCAGCTCCTCACCATCAGAGCTCCACCAGCCACCTCCACCAGCAGCCACCTCTCAGCTAGACTTGATGGGGGGAAAGCTGTGTAATTACAGATTTCGATGCAGCTTCATTAGAGCTCGCTGCTAGATATAAATGGACCCCAGCAGGGTCTCCTAACAGGATCTGCTGTTTTCATCTGTTTTCATCACCGGCTTTTGCTTACTCCAACCTCTCCCAAACCACTCCAACAGCAGGAGCTTTTGGCCCCCAAACCAAGCTGCTGGGATTAAAGCAGGCAGCAAACCACACCGCGGCATGCGATTATCCCGTTCTTTTGGTGAGATGCGCTTTTCCCCTTTCCCTGGGCACTGCTGCCCTGCCCCAGGACTCACGGAAAGCAAGATTTATTGGCCTTTGGTCTCAGTGCTGCCGTGCCATCCTGCCCACCTGCCTTCAGGGGACCTCTGCTCAGCATCTCAGGAGTAGGATTTGCCTAAATAGCAGCAAAACCTGTTATAAGGTTTACAAATGAAGGGTTTTATAGAACCGAAATGCAAAATAATGAGCAACCCCACTTGCCTGAGTGGAGCTGGGGAGGGGAGATCCTGCCGGTCCCGCTGCTGCAGTGGCTCCACCTCGTTAGGGGTAAACTCACACAATTCGAGAAAACATTCAGCACTGGCAGAAAAAGGGCTCTGGAGGAAGGGGAGTCTATTCCTTCCCCTTTATTCTGCTCTTTCAAGATACAACTTGAATTTACTTGTGGCCATGCCATGCGTGGCCCAGCAAAGGGCAGAGCTGCTGCGACACCAGCCTCTTCCACGGGATCTCCTGGCTAATGAGGGGGTTACGAAACAAAACCCCTCAGCTCTCCCAGTCCGGGGTGAGCTCGTGGTTCTGCTTTGAGGGAATTTGGTATAATCTGGATGTCGGTCAGCCTGATTTTGTGGCTCTCCTGGGAGAAAGCTGGGGAATTGGCTGTGCATGGAGCATCCTGCTGGGACAGACCTCGCTGTCAGGGGGTCATGTAGGCTACGGGTGGTTGCCACACGCTGCTGTTTTTTTTCTGCAGATAACTCGCATCGATTTGCATAGGCGGCAGCTCTGCGCTGACAGGAAGGAAGATCGAGCGAGACCCACGGCGCAGGAAGGGGCGAGGAGCAAACTGAAAGAGAGAAAAAGCCACCGGGCTGGAACTGGGGGTGGTGGGCGGCTGGGGAAGCCGGACCCACCTTCCCCAGGTGCCGCCCCGAGCATCGCCCCGGCCAGCGGGTCCCATCGCCTCTGCGGGTCCCCCAAGGGCGAGGGCTGCCAATTGCAGGGGCTTCCATTTTCTACCTTGAACTTGAGCATCCAGGCAAGGAGGAAGCGAAACTGGGGATAAAGGGCTGAGCCGGGGCACGGTGGGGCTGCATCCTCCCGCCGCGATGAGGATGTCCTCTCTGCCCTCCTGCTCCCACGCAGACCTGGGGAAGGCGGCACGAGGCCGAGGTAAGGTTTTGGTGGGGCTGGTTTTGCTTTGGAGGGGTACAGGGCAAAGGAGAGGCGTCACTCAGCCCTCCCGCACGGGGATGAGCTGCTGCAGAACTCCCGCTGCCGTGACAGCCGTGTGAAATGGAGTGGCTGGGCCAACACGTGGCAGGGCCAGGAGCTGCTGGGTGAAGGTCCCTGGGATGGGCAAGTTGTGACTGACTGCCAGCAGCACCCGGCAGAGCGGCCAGGCACGGCGTGGCTGCTGGTGCTGGCAGGAGAGGGTGCACGGCGCTGAGCCCTGAGTGAGGGAGGGGAGTGTGGGACCTCGCGGGGAACCTGGCACTTGTCACAGATTCTGTCCCCTTGCCTGCTACCGCCGGCCAAGGCATGAAGGCAGCTGCAGCCAGGCTGCCCTGCCCTGCACAAAGCCTTGTACAGCATCAGCCTTTGCGCCCATGTTAATGTCATTTAAGGACTTCATTCCGCTTCAAAACCACAGAAAAATCCCCAATACATACTGCAAATAGAAAAAGGGTGAGATTAGCAACATACTCGCCCATGGCACAGTGCAAAATTGCACCAAAGAGCGAGGCAGGGCCCTGGGTCTGTCGGCAATCCAGGACTGATGGGCCTTGAAACCCAGAGCTGCACCTGCACGTCCTCTTTCGGGAAGTGGGCTCAGCATGGCCTTCCCGGAGCTCAGCCAGTGGGAACGGCAGCACCGAGGTCTCCAGAGCTGCAGCTCATTCTGTTTGTGGCCCTTTTCAGTGCAGGGGATGTCCCAGCTCTGGGCAGGACCCAGAGACGCAGGGAGCAGGCTGAGGCGATGGAGCTCGGCGGGGACATGTGGCACGCTGGGCTGCGTCAGCGCGTTAGGCTTAATCCTGCTGTTATTTAAGCACTCGAAGGTCATCAGGGCCACTACGAACCCTATGGGTATGGGACTGCTGGGGAGGGGACCAGCTGCAGCACCGGCTGGGTGCTGTCACCCACTGAGACGTCACCAGCGTCTGGGGTTTGGTGGCCGCGTGGAAGGGTTACCCGAGGCCAGCCTTTCGGGGCGGCCTGGGCAGAGCTCGGCACAAAGGATGTCCACGTTGCACAAAAGTTTCTTTCTGGAGACCTCACGGTCACCTTTGGGGTGGGTACCGCTCGGCATCCCGGAGCTCTGCGTCCCCTCCGAGGCCGAGCGGCTGGGGCTGGCGTTGGTGACGGAGGCAGGCTGGCTGCAGCTCCTTCCCAATTTTCACGCTGATGTCCTGAGATCCCGTAGGCGAGAAGGGCAGAAGCTGTTTGCAGGGGGAGGATCCGCTTTTCAATCAGCTGTGTGCGTGTCCATGGTGAAGTGGCCTGGAGGCACGATCAGCTCAGCAAACGAATCATTCTTCATTTTGCAGCTTGCAAGGTGTAGCAGTATCCTGCGAGAGACCTCCTCTCTGAAATTAGCTTTGTTTTGAGCTGCTTGGAATTACTCGTAGATTGATTTTTGCTTTTTTTCTGGTAATATTTAGTGTTGGGACTGCTGGCATTCAGCCCAGGGGTCCTTCATGGCTCCTCACCTCCACAGCTCACTATTTTAACTCCCACTGTTATTCTGGTTGGGGTTTTGGAAAAAAAAAAAAAAAAAACAACAAAAAAAAGCCTGATAGGGGTTAGATTTGGCATAGGGGATCACTCTGTAATTGCAAGCTGTAATTGCAATCTGTAATTGCAATAAATTTTGCTACATTAAAAACAGACACAAAAAAAAAAAAGACTGTATCTGAAAGTCATATGTAAACTTAGATAACTGAGTTACCTGCAAATCTGCAAGTTTCATAACTGGGTATCATGCAGCAGATACTTCATTGCTTTGTGTAATTAACATAAATTAATAATGTGAACTCTTTTCGGGTCTGCCAAAAGGTGGCAGTCTGCATCCTGGCTTCAGGGTTTGCTCAGCTGAGACGGGGGTGGCTGGAGATGATGGCTTGGCAAATGTTTGTGTGCGGCTCCCTGACCTCCGAAACAGGATTAGTTCAGGGTGGATGTATGGCAGGAGAAATAAGGAAAAGCTCTCAGGCAAAGGAGCCTGAGATTCGCTGGAGGAAACCCAGCGCGCCAGGAAGCGGTGGGAAGGTCCCGCGGGGCTGGTTTCTCTCCGTTCCTGTGTCTGGGGGAGGGAGAGCAGCGGTGAGATGGGTGCTGTGCTGCTGGGGTTTGAGCTGCACCCAGACGTGTCACCCCAAACTGGAGACCTTTGGGGAAGTGGCTGCACCATCAAACCCAGCGATGATGGGGTGGGGAGAAGGCGATGGCCAGGCTGAGGGTTTCGGCGTGTTTGGGGGCATGGAGCTGTGGTGGCGTGGGCATTTCCCCCGCTCCTTCAGGATAACAATGTAATTATCAGTTCATATAAAATCCTTAAATGTACATACATACTGCAGATCAGCTCATTTTTTGATGTTTTCCTTGCATGGGTCCCTGCAGCCGTCCACGAGCTGTTGCCCAGCACTTTGGTGCCCATCTAGACTAGGCACCCTTCAGCCCTGTCCCCAGCCCAGCCGGGTCCCCGGGGCTCTGCTAGCTGGAGAACCCTGCCCGAGGTGCCAACCGGTGTCCCCTGATGCTGCCCGTGGATCTGCCCACGAGCCCCAGCGTGGCGACAACCACAAATTTCCAACTGCTGAGTGTTGCAGCCCGACG